ATTTTTTGATTCCTTTCTAACCATTATCATTTTATGAAATGCTTAATATGATTGTGATCACAGTGTACTCTTGGTTGTAACCAAAAGATCAAGAACAATAGCTTATACTTAATGTTACATTTTGTGTCTTACTTTTCCTCTTATCTTTTGATTAACATTGTGTGGTAATGTTTTTCTCATGACATTTCAAACTCTTTGTGAACATCATTTTAAATAAGTATGACATTACATTGAAGGCATTCAATTACATAACGGTCACTTCCATTTGTAGGATATTAGATTTTTCCCAGTGCTTCCACTTTCAACATGAGTGTTAAGACATGTCTGTATATAGATATTTTCTAGCATTTCAAATATTTTTGTAGGGTAGATTCCCAGGAGTTAAATTATTGAATCTAATAAGTCTGGCTATTATTTTTTCTTGTGTTTCTTTTTAGAAAAAAATTGTGAAATAGTTCAACATACAGAAAAACAAAGAGAATGACATGGATATGACAAAGATTCCCAAACCCACAAATCACCTATTTTTAAAGGGTTATACATCCTTTTAGTTAATTAGTTGTTTTATACTGAGATCATTTCTATGCAGTAAAGGGTATCTCAATGAATATCCCTGTCTCTTTAGATACACATATCCATATATATTGCATATATACCCAAACACACATGCACATACCACTGTGTCACCAATCAGATCATACAATTCTATTATTTCCACCCCCTCTTTCATTTCCTCTGTAGTAACCCTACCCCAAGTAACAATACTCTAACTTTAACCACTTTATATAAATTTTGGGTCCTTTGGGATTTTATATGAATGGAATCATTTCATATGAACTCTTTTGCATCTGGTTTCTTTTGCTAATATGCCTGTAAGATTTATCCATTTCATTGTTAAGTAGTTTAAGCTTTTCCACTGCTGTGGCTATAATCACAAATACAAGATGTAGCAAGTGTTAGGAGCGATATGGAGAAATTGGATCCCTTATATACTAATTTCTGGTGGGAATATAAAATAGTTCAGTCACTATGGAAAACAGATAAGCAGGTTACCATGTGATCCAACAATTTACATAACAGAATTACCATATGATCTGGCAATTTCACTCTTTAAGTATTTTAAACAGGAACTCAAATTTGTATACAAACGCCCCTACTAGCATTAGTCACAATAACCAAAAGGTGAAAACAATTTAGATGTAGATTAATTGGTGAATGGGTAAACAAAATGTGATATATCCATATAATGGAATATTATTCAGCCCTAAAAAGAAGAGCAGTACTAACACATGCTACAAAATAAAAACAGTATGCTAAGTGAAAGATGTTAGACACATAAGGACACAAATCATATGATTCCATTCATGTGTAATAATTGGAAAATCCATAGAGAAAGAAAAGATCCAGGTAAATCCATGGAGAGTGAAAAGATTGGTGGTTGCAAGGACTGGCAAGGGAAATGTGGGATAAATGTTTAACAGGTGTGGGGTTTCCTTTAATGGGTAGCTTTTGGGATTTTACAAATCCTTCTACTACAAAACAATGAAGGTATTATTCTTCCATATTACCTTTCTTTTTTTTTTTAATTTTGCTTTTTTTCATTTAGATCTTTCATCTGTTTGGAACTTGCGTGTGTCTACAATGGGGAAGTATAGGGTGGATTTTTAATTCTAGTTTTCCATTTGGTTAGATAAATTTGTAGACAAGTGCATCCTTTGTGCACTGATTTGTAATGCCTCCTCTGTTAAATGTCAACTTTCCAAATACGTATGTGTTCTCAATTTTCTTCATATGTCTTAGATTCTATGATATGTTTTTACATCTGGGAGTTAAGTTACTCCTATCATATTTATTTTCTTCACCATTGTCTTGCCTATCCTTAGCCCTTTGTTCTTCCATGAAATTTTAGGGTCAGCTTATCAAGGTTTATTTTAAAATCCTATTCCCTATGGAGATTTAACTGAAATTGCATTGAAGAGGTTTGTCATTGTTACCATATTGATTCTTTTTTTTTAAATTTTTTAAAAAAAGATTTATTTATACAAGCACTGGGTACAGTCAGAAGCGCAGGAGGGTGAGAGAATTCACCAGAGTCAGAGCGGAGAGCAGAACAGACAGACTGACGAAGTACACTGCTGAGGGGAGCAGCGGGTGGCAGGAGAAGTCTGCGCGCCATGTGGGACCCTCACCCGGTGGCCGGGGATTGAACCAGTGCTGCAGAGGTTGCAAGCAGCTTTGCAACCCGGCGCACAACCTCTGTGCCACCGGGGAGGCCCTGTTACCATATTGATTCTTTTGTACCATTGAACATGGCATGTCTCTTATTTTTTTCATATCATTTTTTCTGATGCTTAGCAATGCAACACAAAGATAACTAATTATTGTCTCACTTAACATAAAATAGTAATTTTCGCCTCAAAGGTTTTTTGCTATTACGATCATATTGTAAGTTTGATTAATTACACATGGAGATGTTATTGTTCTTGTACAGGTGCCTTTTTTCAAAACCTTGCTCTTATCTGTGGATTTGCTTGCATTTTTATATAGGTAATTGTAGTGTCTGAAAAAGAAAACTTTGTTTCTTATGTTTCAATTTATTTTTCCTATTACTCTGGGCTAGGACTTCCAGAAATGGGGATGGTAGATTTCTTTGTGCTGTTGCTGACTGCGAAATTAATGGGGGTACTACTTAAGGTTCAACAACAAATGTGTTTACTCTTGGTTTTTGATAATTAGTCCCTAGCAGGTGAAGGAAATGATCTTCTATTCCTTGCTTGCTAGGTAACCCCCATATATAACTATTAATCTTTTCAAATATTTTTTTATATAATCATTGAGATAATCAGTTTTCTCCTTTAATCTTCTGTGGTATATTATATCTATAGGTAAGTTGTTGTGGTATTTGAGGTCAATAGGTTTTCTGACCTTGGGGCATTGCTCTTTTGAGGGAATAAACCTTGTTTGTTCATGATATATTTTTTATTTTGGAGTTTAGAATTTATTTAATACTATTTTAGAATCTTTGCTGTGTTCATAGGTGAGATCACACTAGAGTTTTTTATTGTACCGATTTAAGCTAGTTTTGACATCTTGGTGATGCTATTCTCATAAAATGAGCTCTGAAACAATTTTGATAAAGTCAGGATTACATTTAATTTAGTAATTCACCTAGAAAACTATTTGGGCCTGTTGACTGAGGTGAAAAGTAAATGACTATATTAACAAGTCAATTCTTGTAGTGGTTATGGATTTGCTTTATTTCTTAAATACATTTGATGTTTGCCTTTTAATAAAAATTATCTACTGCAACTAGTCTAACAAATCTTTGTGTATTTGTATTTATGTCTCCCTTTTCATTCTTAATATTATTCAGAGTGCCTAGTTTGATGAATCTTCAAAAGTTTGCCTTCTTTATTAGTTTTTCTGCCAAGCAGTCAGCTTCGTGGAGCCACTCTATTGCTTCCTGCTTTTGTTTCCCTAATATATGCTCTTTTTGTTATTATTTTGTGTGTTTCTAGTTTGGTTAGGCTTTATCTGTTCTCTTTTTTTTACTGTCTCTTAGCCCATTTTTTTTGATCTTATAATTTTTAATGCATGCATTTAAGGCCATGCATTTACTTACACCAAAAGGTACAAGTTTTAATATGTTGTACTCTCGTAGTTATCCAGCTATACATATATTATGATTTTAATGGTTACATCCTTTTTCTCCTAGGAGCAATTTAGAAGTCTCTTAATGACAGCAGCTTTTTAAAGATTTGCTGTCAGGAAATAATTCTTTATCTTAAAGAGCTGGACCAGTTTATGCTTCTACAAACCATGGTGATACCAAAAAAATTGCTCCAGGGCCTCCCCGGTGGCATAGCGGTTGAGAGCTGGGTTGCGAAGCTGCCTGCAGCCTCTGCAGCACCGGTTTGATCCCCGGCTGCTCCCCAGCCCCCAGAGGAGGGTCCCACATGGCGCGCAGACCTCTCCTGCCGCCCGCTGCTCTCCTCAGCAGTGTACTTCGGTCCTTCTGCCTGCTCTGCCCTCTGCTCTGTGTCTGGTGAATCCTCTCACCCTCCAGCACTTCTGACTGTACCCAGTGCTTGTATAAATAAATAAAAATAAATCTTTAAATAAAAAAATTGCTCCAGATGATATCTTAACAATAACAAAGAATGTTCTCTAGAGCCTCCCCCACCACCACCACCACCACCAACAACAACAACAAAAAAATACCATATCCGTGCAGTCCAGGGGGTTAGAGTAATAAAGAGACTAAGTCTATATTCAAGTTCTCAGCAGGCCACCAGGTAAGTGGGCAAAGAATATTTATTCATCCATTTCATCCTTTGTAAAACAAAGCTAAGAAAATAGTATCTGTTTCACGGAGTTATTGGGACGTGTTTAGAATCTAGTTGTCATTCAAAAAATATTACTAATTTTTATTACTTTGTATATTTACTGCTGCCATGCTGTGTTAGTAAAACAAACCTCTGGGCTTCTGAAAAGTAAAGACCCATCTTTCAAACAGCTTTGTTATACTTGTGTCCAAAACATGTTCATGCCTCTTTCAAGTTCATGCAAACATATAAAGAGTCGACACACAAACCCACAGAGATAGGACTGTTTCATTTCATGTTCAAATTAGGTCCACAGATGCAAAGACAGAGATTCTCACGCAGAAGCCCTCAGCGAAACACAGAACCCATAAATCCAGGTCCACACTTCTGCACACTCCCCACAAAGATGGATTCATCGCCCACAGAGAGACGCGCTCCTAAATCCCACTCAAAACCCAGCGGCCAGCGGAGAGACCACACGCTCGGCGCAGCGCCAAGCGAAGCATCACCATGGGCTCCAGCATGGGCAGAGGCCTGGTTCTTACTTCCTTTGAGTTGGTTCTATTTTAGTTTTTGTTCTTCTTAGAGTTATCATCTGCCTCCTTTTCCTTCTACCCAGCCCCCAAGTCTCCCCCATCCCCGCTCCCGGTCTCCAGTGCGCATGCGCTCTGCATCCCGCCCCCTCCTGGGTACCAGTCGGCGCTCCCAGGCCCTGGCGGCGGAAGAGATGCAGCCGCGTCACCAGCGCCCGGCCCCTTAAAGCGCTGCTGGCTGGAGCCGCCTTCCTCCCTGCAGCCCGCAGCGGGGATGGAGTAAAGGGAAGCCCGTCGACCTGCCCGCGGGGATCCGCGATGGAGTTAAAGCAATCTTTGTCTACCCATCTGGAAGCGGAGAAGCCTCTTCGGCGCTATGGGGCGGTGGAGGAGACGGCTTGGAAAGCGGAGGGACTGGGGCGAAGTGAGTACCCGGGTGAGCCGGGAGGGGATGGACTGTTGGGGATCCGTGCGCTGGAGCGGGGGTCGAGGCGACGCGACGGTGGTAGGGAGCGCACCGAGGGAAGCGCCCCCGCAGCCGGGCTGTCGGCGCGGGAGGGATGCGCAGCGCTGCGCAGAGACGCGCTCTCCCGCGAACAAAAGGGGGACCCTTCGGGCTGAGCTTCACTGGAAGGCTCGGGAAATTGCAAGGCAGCTAAGCCCAGAAACTGGGGTGGACTCGGGAGTCCCGGACCCGTAGGTACGAAGCTGGTCCTGGAAAGTAAGGGCTTTTCCCGCAGCAGAGATAGGAGGGTCGGGGATGCGCTAGGGCGCCGGAGCCATTGGGCCACCCTGGAAAGCGCCTACGTCTCTGGAGAGGGGGGAGTGTCCGCTGGGTTTCCTCTGCTTTTCCCCAGGCGCGAGGTCCAGGTCCAGGGCACTCCTGAGAGCCCCAGCGTTTGCTTCCCTGCCTTCTCCTGGGTCAGGGTGGAAGGGGAAGGGTTAGGGGAAGGATAACCCAGTGCATAGCCTTCCCCTTTCTCCCTGGACTCCAAGTCTTTGACTTGGGCACAATCCTGGAGGGCAGTTCTGAAACAGACCGACTGTATGTGCCCGGTCACTCTAGGGGATGCTGGTGTCAACAACCTTTCTAAATACATGAGAGATTTTTAGTTTTTATTGATAGCATGCCTTACTTGTAACCCCCCCCCCAAGTGTAGAGGTAGCAGCAGGGGCACGAGGGTGCCCTCCCAGAAAACCCTGCCCCTGCCTGTGCTTGTCCTATCAATCGCTTTGGGTAAGGCCCTCTGTCCTTACCAAGGGCCCCCAGCTTCCTGCCGTGACCCTGGGTATCCAGGCTCACAGCCAGCCTCAGCTCTGTTGGATCAAAGTATTGTGAGTTCTTTTCCTGCCTTCCCCTGATAGACAAATGTGTGTGGGCTTTCTCCATACCTGTCACTTCAAATTCAGACAGTCTTCTTAGAACGGTTAAGCTGTCTTCTGGGTATCATGGGTTCAAGTTGCGATCACAATCCAGTGCCTCGGTTCTTCCCCTGGAGCCCACCAGTGCTTCCAATCTCTCCTTTCTTTCTCCTTTTAAAATCTGGTTCTGTCTTTCTGTTCTGTCCCTTCGAATTTCATTGGCTTTGGTGTTTCAGGCATGATGTCAAGGCAGAGGGTCGTGACTTCCTCTAAGCTCAATATCATACCCACAATGGCTGCCTGCCATGGACTAGGTCTTGTGCTAAGAACTTTAAATGCATCATTTCCTTCAGTCCCACAACAGTCTCCCGAGGTGACTCTTAGCACTTCCTGCCCAGGGATGGAAAAACTGGGCTTGCAGGTGATATGACTGTTAGGTGGCAGTCAGGACTTGAACCCGGATTTGGGGAACCACACAGCCCCTTTGGGGCAGATGTGAAGGTTGATTGACATGAAGATTGATTGCTTTCACACTTTCTGGGTACTTTCTAAATGTGTTGAGTCCCAGAACAGTGTCCGTGGACTGACCAGTATGCAACAGGCTTACTGGTCTCTGGTGCTCACAGCTGCCTTGCAAGAAGCAGAAGTTGTCTTCAAACAAGCCCTGGATTTGAATCCTGGCTCTGCCATTTGCTGCCCAGGGACTCTCTTTAGGCACTTTTCCAAGCCTCCCCCTGCCTCTGTTTCCTGAAATGGAGATAATAATAGCACCTATCTTATACTTTAATTATGAATATTCACTGTATTTAGAGCTCAAGGTAAGTGCTCAATATTTATTGACTGCTTCTCTTTTTTTATTCTTACATCTGTAGGAGGTACTTGCTATTCTTCTTCTTCTTCTTTTTTTTTTTTTTGCAAGGAATTACATAAAGTAACACCCTGGATGAAAACAGCCCTGTGGGTCAGTTCCCTAATAACTCTTACAGCTTTTTATTTTCTCACCTTTCTATTGGGAACATTTTCAAGCATACAAAAAATTGCAGTGAACACCCGTTTCATAGTGTTTTGGCTCCTGAAGTTAGGCTGAAACTGTTAAAAGCCCGGAAGAAAGGCTTTATCACCCTCTCTGTTCCAAACCATCAAAGACTCTGACTCTTGCTTCCTATTCAACTGCAAGACCATTTCTGATCTTCTTTTGCATGTGGACCCCCAGATATGCCCCCCTACTTTTTATCTATTCACAAGAGATCTTCTTAAAGCCCTGACTCAGGGTTCCACTTTTAAATGTTAAATCTGGTATTATTACCTTTAGCAAGTTTTGACCTCTAGCCTCTTGTCTGCAACCTGGCACTTTTTTGATTAAAGTAGCTTTTTTGGAACTCTCATTTCCCAAAGGATGGAAGGATCCATTCCATAACATCTGAGGCCTCCATTTATTTATTAATGAAATGTGAAAATTACTACTATTGATTCCTGGGCATAACAGTTGTCAAGCCAATGTGGTAGCATGTGAAAAGCAGGGGAAAATGAGCACAGCCCATTCAAAAGAAAGCAAGCGCTGTTTAATTTCTACACATATTTAAATAGTGTATGTTAAACACTGAACATGCAGTACTCGAAAAGAATTAAACAGAGGAAATTGGTCATTTCCAATTAAGGTTGTGTAAACTGCTCAGATTTCAACTCTAGTTTTTAGGTAGAAGCTATGCATAGTAAAATTGTAGAATGGGGATTTGGGGATCAGGTAGAATGGCCCAAATTGGTCCAAACCAGTTGTAAGACTTCCTTAGTTTGTCAGTCTGGGAACACGGCTAAACATCTCTGTGCATCACTGATCTCATCTGTGAAATGGGAACGATACTAATAGGACCACTACAGGCTGTTGGGGTAAGTGAGAAAGAAAATGTGTGCAACATGCTTAGCTCGGTGCCTGATGCAGAAAGCTCTCCCTCTGGACTGATTGGCTGTGGTGATAGCACATGGGTGGAGCCTATAGCATTATCCCAAGCTTGCCAGCCACTTTCCCATTGCATCCACCTCTTTGTAAATTCCAAATAATAATGGGGTATCTATAGACTCCCTCCTCATGGGAATGTTTGAGGAATGGCTTCTAAACCCTGGAAAACCACAGAGTATTTTCTCCTTTGAGGAAGATCCTGAGCCACCTTCCTGTCTGCCTTTGACAACCTTTTCCTGCTAACAGTGCATTTGTCTGTTTTTGTTTTTTTTGTTGGAAAATGTATGGTGACACTTCAGTGTCGTTCGATAGATAAAAACGTTGCTTTCAACCAATTGTAGTTAATTGAGAGAGACACAGAGAATGTCTTTTGAAAAGCATGGAGCTTCCTAACTGCAGAACTGTTGGTTGTGGTAGTATTTCTTGACAGACTTGAATGTACCTGGAAGGATGAGAAAGACTTTGCAAGGGTGGTAGGAGAGGGTGGCATGGGGGTGAGGGATAGGGGGCTTAGGGGGTCAAGCTTTGAGAGGTCATAACTGGCAAAAGCACAGGCTTAGACATAGATGTGCTGGGAGTAGGAGGTTGGAGTGAAGTGGAAACTTCATATAAGCCCAGAGAGACGGCTGTTATTTAAAAGTCCCAGGATGTGAACTGACCAGCCAGCAGATGGTTTTAACTGGTGGAGGATTCAGGTTTAATAAACAGTGTGGAGTCTGAAATAATATCAACTGCCAGCAACTTTATAACAGATTCTCAGGAAAGGTTTTGTGCTATTTTCATCCTTTTGATTAAATATGCTAGTTTTATTATTTCAATTTTATTTTGCTTTTCCTTATTATTTTTTTCCTTATTACAGAAGTAATACCTGCACTTTATGAAAAGTTCAAATTCATTAAAATATAGAAAGAAAAGGGGGAAATGACCATCATCTGCTCTCGCATTGCCATTTATTCACTCAACCAATAGGGATTAAGTGCTTTGTAAGTGCCAGGCAGGGCCCCAGGGGCTGCAGATACGGTGCGGAGCAAGACAGACAAGGTTCCTGCCCACATGGAGCTTTTATTTGGGAAGAAGTGGAAATAGGCTAGGAGTGAAGGTATCAAATGATAACATGAGCCTGAAACTAGCGCAATTAGGATAATTAGTGTTACAAGGAAATTAATAGGGGAGCGATATATTAGGAATCACTTCTCTGAGGGGGTAATATTTTACCAGGTAAATGTCAGAGATCCAGGCAGCAAATACAAAGACCCTTGGAGTGTTTGAAGAAGAGACAGAAGGTTGGGGTCGCTCCAGAGAGAGCGGAGATGAATTAAACAGGAGTCAGCCTGGATAGGGCCTGGTAGGTGAACAGAAGCTGCTAAGAGTGTAGAACGGGAGACCAGCATGAGTTAGGTTTTGTTTTTGAAAGGTTGTGTTGGCTACTGGATGGAGAATAAGATCACAGGGGGCAGCAAGTGATGATCAATGTCATCATACCCCCCCCACCCCCCACCCCCACCCCTTTCTATGCTCATCAGTCTTGTTGGGATAAATGGTAGCGATTTCCTTGCATGTGAAAGGCGTAACAGCATGTCTCCTAGGAGAGCGAGCCTGGGGTTAAGGTTTAGATGTGACAGTCTCCACACTATTCCTGCATAGGCAACCACAAGTGTAATTTACCACAGGCACCCTACTAGCAAGAACACAAAGATTATCAATACAACAGTATCTTATCTGTGTTTTGAACAAACCCAGTTATTTACCTTTCTCTGTGTTGGTTCATAATTCTAGGATTATTTTTGCAAGCATTTCCCTCTGTGTTAATTGAAGGAAAAAAAGTCTGTGCCTATTCTTGGTCTCTGGTTAATTATTAAATACTTATTAATAATAATAGTTGTAAATGAGTCTTAGCAATGAACTCAAACTTATTAAATTCTCAGGACAACCCTTTTCACTCAGCAGAATTCTTATTCTCCTTACCCTTATTCTCCTTTTACCGATGAGGAAACTAAGGCTGAGGTTGGTTAAGAGCTTTGCCACTGGAGCCTGATTCTGGCTCTCACGGGCCCTGGAGTTTCGTAGGCAGGTTAGAAGCGACGGGTGGTAAAGAGTCTATGTGG